AAACTTGCGTAGCCCTGCAAGTAGATTGTCCTTGTTCGTATCTTCTATTTATTATGTATTTGCTTTCCTTTTTGGGCTAATTGAACTGTACAAGTTTAGCTCATGTGCTTTGCTGTTAGGTGCAATATAAAATTCATTAGAAAACATTGTAGAAATGCCTTCAACGACTTGTTTCATTTGGTTTTGTTGGGATGGATTGAGATTTGAGACCTATCATTTTATTATAATTATTGTTATTTCTTATGTAGAGATATAATATATTTTTTTGGGTATTTACCTCCATACTGTCTAATTTCTATGTTTTTACATATCTAACCGCTAAATTAGTTAACTTTTGGTCATTTATTCTTTGATAGACTTATCTTAAATTAGGTCAGCTGGTCTTTAGCCATTTAGACACTTGTCGGTAGGTTAGTCTTTGATCGGTCAGTCTCTGGTCGGCAGGCCGCAGTTGGTCTGCTAGCCTTTGATCAGTCTGTCTCTGGTTTGTTGATTAGCCTTTGATATGTTGGTCTCAGTCTGTTGGTCATCCATGTGTGATTGTCTTGCTTCAGATGGTTCTGCATTCATTTTGTGAAGCCATCTTTTTGCCAGTATATTGTTATGAATTGTTAAGTTTTTGTAGGGAAGGTTGTTATAAACGATAAGTTTTGAACAAATTTTCTCTAAGTAAATATTAAATATATAAAGTAAATATGAAATTAAAAAAAAAATTGATATCAATTATTTCTAATCAGTAGATATAAGATAATTGCTATAATTTATATTTTCATAATTATAATATGATAAAATATTTTTTTTAAAAAAATATCAATTTAATATTTTCATTAACTAAGCATTTTTTAATAATTATAATTCAATTCACTCAATATCTCAAAATATTATGAAAATAAATAAATTTAAACAAAGACATATTTGTTTGTGCCATATTTATTCACCCTTCAACTTTAGCTGAATCCAATGCACATTCAATGAGACTTGAATGCTTTCCTTGGAACTAATTTTATATTATTATAACAATTGCTTTTATATTTTAATATATATATATATATATATATATTCATGCAAATGCAAGCTAGGTAACGTACATGTAAGGTTATGTATGTAAATCTTCCTGAGAAAAAATGCAAATAAAATGAACTATATAGGAAGACATTCCTGGATTTCACAAGTAAAAACCAAAAAATTTAAAAATGAGCAGAATAGTCTTCTGTAATATCAGTAGACCTTTTTCATGTCTCATATATATATATATATA